TTAGTGACAGACTGCTGCACCCATAATGCACCAAGGAGCGTTATCACAGATCCTTCCTCCCAGTAGCTGTAAGACACTTTAACCTCCACTGTTCCCAACAACCTCAATAAGTTGTAACATTCATGCTGATTTTTGCACAGTTTTTGTCACTTAACATGCTGCTGCCATTTTTGCACATATCCACTACTGTTAAAATGTCTACAGCTTTATATTACTCTTTCCAGATGCACAGTATTTGTACTGTAAAAACTCAGTACAGTACAGTATTATGTTTATGTGTTTTAACTCTTGTCACTCATTCTGTTATTTTTTATAGACTTTTTCTAAGGTCCACATTAGTGTGACCACTTTTGCTATAATCTTTTTGCTGCTGTAACACCACAATTTGGCCATTGTGGGACAATAAAGGGATTTTCTATTCTATTGTATTCTATTCCATGGCATGTAAGTCTAGTTCGAGTTCAAGTTAAAGCCACCTACCCAACATGAAATTAGCTTTAAGTTGAGTCCCGATGTAGGTTTGCAGGTTTATCTAGTCGAATCAATAAGAGGAAGAACATGTTTATGGAGAAGACGACTTTACATGATGGAATGGGTTGGAAAGTCAAATTTAAGAAATTCTAAAATCAGATAAGAATTAAAAATAAAAAAAAAATATACAGGTTTCATTTGATGTAGGAACTACCTTGAACTATTCAGTTTGATCAGAAAACCCTGGTATTAATCCTTTCCACAACAAGTCCTTCAGGCAAACCTGATGTGAAAGATAAATGAAGGATGAAGAAAGAATAATTATGTGTAAAAACACCACATGCCCTCATATAAGTACTACCTGTGATGCCTTGTCTGTTTTTACCATGCACAAACTGTTTATCATACCGGGACATTTTAAACAAACACCTCATAGACTTTACTAGAAAACAGAGAGCAATTTTCTTTCGATTCACAAAGACAATACCTAAACAAGTCAACCTTCAGTCTGGAACCTCACAGTAAGCTAAAGAGAAGAGAGAATATGGAGGACCAAACACCTTGGATGGTCTGGAGATGCTGAGCAAAGAGCAGTCATCAAAAAGTTCACTTTTCTGGGTGCTTACCAAACATCAAAGGAGATCAGTGAGTTAATTGTTGATAGAATATAGTTTAGCAGCAGGAGTAACAATTGTTGCATGGGTGATTTTTAATTTAAAAAATAATTTTTCAGTTTTAGATTCTGGTTCTGTGTAATATAATATATATGTTGGGGCTTTTTACAAATCCTTTACCAGCACTGCAAATAAATGAGGCTTAAAAACTAGATCTCCAACAGTTGCGGCCAAAAACAGAAAATTCCTAAAGTCTGTCTTTTCACCCCAATCCCATCAAAGGAACTATGTAACCCACAAGTACTTTGAAACTTTCTTTTAAGACTTGTTTTTAGTGACACCTTTAAAAAAAATTGACGTTTTCCCAAATCTACTTGGTCAAATTGTCCCACGGTTACTTCCGTACTGTAGAAAAGTGGGGAAAGGTGAGGTAAACAAGTTCTGTTTCAAGGTTTAGCTCATTACAAGCTTGTACTGATATACAGCAGCAGTAGTTTCATTGATATCTTTTTAATGAAGACAATATATTCAGGATATCCATCCATCCATCCATCATCTGACACGCACCATTCATGCACACACTCACACCTAAGGAAAATTTAGAGAAGCCAATTAACCTAACAGTCATGTTTTTGGACGGTGGTAGGAAGCCGGAGTACCCGGAGAGAACCCACATAGCTCAGGGAGAACATGCTAACTCCATGCCAAAAGACCCCGGGCTGGGAATCGAACCTAAAACCTTCTTGCTGCAAGGCAGCAGTGCTACCCACTGCTCCACTGAGCAGCCCATATTCAGGATATTTGATAAAAATAAAAAAAAAGGAAAAGGGAAGGGAAATACAGAAATAAAGATCAACACAAAACCAGCAATTCATACATATATATGTGCACATATATATATAAGCTAGAAAGTTTTTAGACCTCCATTACATCAATGCCACGATGACTAAAGTTTTTATAAAGACTCTAGTATTGTGACCCCCACTTCTGAACGCATCTCAGTCAGCCGAGGTTCACAAAAGCAAAGCCTCTGAAAAACCTGGAACTGCTGAGCGGGCACAGAAATAGCCGGCTTCTCTCCTCCCTTCTTTCTTTCCTTCCTTCATCTGTGAAATCTACACCCAGTGAAGCTCCCACACAGCTCCAGCTTTAGTCATAAAACACTTGTCAAAAGAAAGGAGAAGCCTGTGGATGCTGATGATCCAACCCAGACTTTCTTAGGAGGAATGTAGGAGTAGTTGGGAAAGAGAGAGAAAGAACAAGAGCTGGAAAGAGCAGCAGCTGTAGGAAGATGGCATCTAATTCTGTGATAAACGTGGCAACAACAACTACTGTCTTAACTTTTTATTGAGTTTGAGAGCATGAAAACAGCTCTTTACCAAATCTTTGTTAATAAGACTGGAGCTGGTCCATCTTTCATATGAAAGCTTCGAGTACAGAAGAAAATAATGATGTTAATAGAGGACCCTCAAACTAAAACAAATGCAGCCTTAAAATGAGAATTTAAAAGATTTAAATATCTGGTTTTACATAGAAATTTTTAAGGTGTCTTTTTTATTTAACAGAACAACCGTTATTAAAACTTTAAATCATACAGAAAAAACAGCAGCTGCTGAAAGCATTCCTGCCTTTTAAAACATACATTTTGTCACATTACAAACATTATCTTTAACCTTTTATGACAAAGGTAGTACTTAATAAAATATTAATTTCCACTGGAGAGCGGAATTAATATTTTTCTAAAAATCTGGCAATGTGTGTTTGTATTCTCCCCCTCACATAGCTCCATGTGGAAACATACTACAAAGCAATTATGGCTGATATTCTGATCAAAATACTTTACATTTTTCAATGCATTTTACTATTTAACAGGATCTTCCTAAACCAGGGGTCGGCAACCCGTGGCTCCAGAGCCGCATGCAGCTCTTTAATGCCCCCCTCGTGGCTCCCTGGAGCTTTTTCAAAAATGTATGAAAATAGAAAAAGTTTTTTTTGTTTCTTTTAATACGGTGTGCAGGCGGATAAACATACATTCATTGTTTCCCAATGCTGTACAAGTACGCAGTGCCAGGCAGGTGGCTGTTAGTATGCAGAACGTCTGGATAAATTACAGGAGAGCAAAGATAGACGTAAGAAGTGGACTGCATCTCCAAACTCCACTAGTGCTGCTAGTTTTGTTGCAAGCATGGAAAACCATCCACGGATCCAACAGGTAGCTATTTTATGCAGGTATGTGAACTTTCTTCCATTTCTTCAATTTATTTTGGTCAAATATGGCTCTATCAGGTTGGGTTTCCGACCCCTGTCCTACTCAGTCAGCATTTAGCTACTACTTTCTTTATTTTTGTTGCAATAAAAGATTAACTTTCAACCGAGACTCAAAGCATTCCCACAGGATCCTACTGTCACCACCATGGGTCAATATGCAGTATTAGCTTTGTGCCGCTCTCAGAACTAAAATGTTTCCCTTTTATCTGATCTGAGGACATTCTCCTACATGTTTGTTATCCCCTTCCAAGAGTTGAGCCAAAATGCACAAATAAGCTGGTTAAGATTATTTGTCACCCAGGTCATATGAACTGCACAAATAACTTTTAATGGATCTTTTCAACATTAGTTGTTACTCCTCTATAAGAGTCAAATTTGTGGATTGCAAGACAAAAAGGTGCTTTATTCTCAATAGACTCTTCCCATAGAGCCGTTGATCTCTGCAGATCCTCCAGAGGTTATCCTGATCATCATGGCTTGGTGTTTAGGATGAGCTTGTTTGTTAAATAATTGCAACATTTTTAATAATCCTACTGTAAAAAACCAAACAAGTAAATTTCTCCACTGTGACATCGCATCAATCAATCAATCAATCAACAGGGTTTATACAGGAATGAATAACTCTAATTTAATGCTTTTTAATGCTCCTAGAAATAATTTTAATGCCTCCAACAGGTACCCGTCGACAGGCTGCAGCCAATTCCTCGTTTTCCAACCACTTTTGTTGAATTTGGCATTCTTCCCTAGCTTTTTCTCCGACTCAAGCTTCTTTTCCGAACATGTCTTTGCGATCAACCGGAATCAGTTCCACGCAAATATATTGTAATATATGTCTGACGAAATTGTTTTTATAAAAAAAATTTTTTAACAAAGCATTTTAAATGCCACAATAAACACATTTAATGAATTGTAATGCAAATTAAAACCTTAATAAAAAAAAACAATTTAATGACTTTTAATGATTTTTAATGACCCGCGAAAACCCTGATCAAACAATTAATTAATGAGTTATTTTATTGTGATCACCTTAACCAAAATAAAGTACAGCACTTACACGTCCAAATCCTCCACGGACAACTGCCATCAATCATCCCCAATTTATTTTTGTGTCAAAAAAACATTCATCAATATGTTTTGCTTTTTTGCAAATCTGCTGCCATAATCTTCAAATCTTTCCTCCAGCAACCCTTCTAACAATTCATTACTTTTCAAGCTATTGGAAACTGTTTAAAAGGCAAAGCTGAATATACAAAATAAGGCCTTGAAGGCATGAGATAGAGCCATTTGTTTCTCATCCATCCATCACTCTCAGCCTGGTTTGGCAATATCTCTGTAACTCACAGAGGAGTTCTTTAAAATGTCTCCTGAGACCACAAAGTTTATCTCTAGGATGTTTTGCATACAGCTTCATGTGAAAGATGTAGTAAATTACTTTTTTGTTAAGCTTTATTTGGACATTTGAGACTGGCAGCAAAATAAATCATGATGCAGTTTAGTTTGTTTAGGCTTTTTTTTCCCCAACTAATTTCTACATTATTTTTTTCTAGATTGCCTCTTTAGACGTGTAAAATTTACATAATGAAACCCTTTTTTCCTCACGTTTCCCTTGTATATATACCTTCACATGTTTTTGAATGTGTTCCTTACCTCGGGGATGGGATCGGACAGCAGGGTGTATAGCTTCTCATGAGCGCTGTCTCGGACTCCACACCACCGCGCCGGTTCAAAGTTCTGCCAGATCCGGCCCAGGCAGATCGCCACCCACTGCCGGAGCAACGGGTGTGGGTCAGAGAGCTGCTCCAGACAGTTGGCGATCAGGTTACCCTGCAGACAGGCCTCCTGAGGGGCAAAAAGTTTGATGTTTTTTTTTAGATGTCTGGCTTTAACCTGTTATTGGAGAACATTTCCAGTTAAACACCAACTGACGTATCCTGGCCATGATTACTCGTGGCTAAAGCTGGTTTTTCATTGTAGTATTACGGCTGTGACAATAAAGGCCTGACTGGAGCCTAATCCTCCTAAGCAGCACAGAGATTTCAGGCTGACTTTCACATCATTAGTTAATAAATCACCACTAACCTCTAAACCTCGTACTGTGAGTTTTGGACAGAGAATATTATGAGCTTGAAAAAGAAGTACTTCAAACATTTATTCATCAACTATTAACAAAGGGGATTTAATCTATCAAAGTCTGCAAAGTAATGTTTTTCTACAGACCGCTCTTCTGGCATATTAATATTAGGTATTGTTTCCTCCTCTGGAAAGAAAATCCATGTTATGTAAACCAAGATGATAAACCAGACAGTCTAAAGCCACGACGTCAGAGCTCTGCAGTGTCATTAAAACCATCTTTGAGAGTTGATCCTTCTGTTGCAATGTTGAACACGAAGGTCTTCATGGGTAAGAAAACAGTACAATGAAAAAGTATTTGCACTTTTTAAATAAACAACTTTTTTTCCTTTCTGTCACACATCAGATGAAATCGAACAAATAAAGGTAAGCTGACTAAATATAGAAAAAAGTTTAATGTGAGAGCTTTATTTGAAAAGGGAAACAGCTTAACAATATAAATATATGACCATTTTAGTGAAGGCTGGGATCGTTTGGTATGAAATCATTTTTTGCATCTTTCTTGGC